TTGTGAATCTGAGCCTAAAACTATGCTTTCGTCATCACTCTGATTTAGGACTGATATTAACTATACACGTTAACACACACACACACACACTCAAGCAGCAATACTGTGTCTAATAGTAAAGCGAAATAGTCAAACAGCTGCAGAACAACAGGAATCGGTCGTCGTCTTGTGTTGAGATCAACCAATGAATCTCATCAGCATGCAGTTTCATACGAAATAAAAGTCTCAGACATTTAAATGAGGTGTATTCAGTCTAGTTCTTTTAGGTTAGAAGGGTCTGGTAGATAAACTTTCCCACAATTATATGAACTGATCTTACGTTTCCACTGCATCTCACGTAGCCTAGTTTCGCAAAAGGTATTTTTATCCGGAATTGACTGTAATGCCGACGTTGCATAGGTCTCATTAGCATCCCCAGCGGGACTCGAACCATGATAATTCAGCATATAATCTCGGTTAGTTAGCAACTACGTCACATTTCCACAAGTGCCTTTAGGTCGCAGAGTAGATGTAAATTCCAGGAAAAGCCAAGCAATTTTTCATATCACACTATTTGTTGGGAATGCAGATGATGCAAAGTTCTAATTACTATAGCAATCGACCAAATTAATCATATTTAGCTTAAAATTAGGTTTATGATACTACCAGTCGATCGTATATATGAGGTGCATTAACACTCTTTCGTTTAACGTGATAGCATTGTTATCTTGAAATATTCTTCTGAACCCAGTCATCCTTCGTATATATATATATATACGGCTTGCTTATTTTTATGATGTAATTTAGTAAATGGGTCGCTTAATTGTGCGTCAGGAACTTCTTCTTACGATACAACTATTACAGCGAAAAACAATCCTCATCCCGTTTTAGTTAAGGTCAATTGACGAGTTTATCTCAACTTGCCCCTCTTCTTAAATGAAAACTCAATCTTTCAATTTTCCAGACATTCTTCGAAATATGGCTTTCTTCAGGCACAAAATACAAAGAGTGATGTCGCATGATGTTAATAAGTTGTTTTATGGTAGCCATAATCTAAAAGTAAAAATTCACTAGTCGACCATTATGATTTTCTTCCTAGGTCACTTGCTTTCCCGTGAAGCCAGTACTTCCTAGTGGACTACTTAATTATGGGTTCTATAATTGCTTAGCTTTTTGCATTTTAGCTCAGTTTTGATCCAGACTTCAAAGCCTCTATTATGGCCCTAGAATAATGAGTCTGAGTCCTATTATTTGGCCCTTGGAGCCTACTATGATTACTATTTTACCCAGCCTTAATGATCTTTTGTCGTTATGCTCATTCAGGTAGTAAGAATGTGGCATATGGCTTAGGCGAAACACGAGAATTGTTGTTGTGAATATGCCATTTGTTGAATACCGTAATGCTTTTTAGCATCACTGCTTGATTAAAAAGTAAACTTAATGAAGAACTGAGACGAAGGTATAAAGCAGAAGATTTATTAAATTAAAAGACGTCTCAAAAAGCCCCATGATTTTGTTTTTTAAAATGGATACTATAACGGCTTGGTCTGGGTCATCAGCTTGTTCAATGGGGTTACAATAATGAAACCAGTCTGACTCAATTCTACTTGAGTTTATTCGACTCAATACTCTCTCTCTTATGTAAAGTAAAATTTTACTCTCAGAGTAGTTTCCATTATTCTTTTTTTAATTTTGAGCCATGTTGGCCCTCTTGGTAGGATTATCAATGCAATCAAATTAATAATTAGTGATGCATTTTTATTTTCTTGTTCATTTTCTTATTGAAGGATATCAGTGGAATGAATGCTCTATTCTACGCAGTAGATGGCGAGTATGCAAATGTTGTGCGCGTCCTTTGCAAAGCCGATTGTAACGTCAATCAACAAGACAATGACAATGGTTGGACGCCACTAATTCGATTGGGTGAGAATGAGCTGACAGTGCAAATTTCACTACCTTTATAACGTCTAATGAATAGAGTAGCTATTGCGTTCAGTATATTTTGATGCAGAACACTATAGAGTTTGCTATTGAAATAAACTTTTTAATGGTTACTCTAAATGTATGCATCCCAATTTTTGTGGA